CAATATTATTATTATATTATTACATTATATTATTATATTATATTATGAGTCTGAATTTTAAATTGAGAAGATTGTAAATTTTAAATTTGATTAGAAGTATTATAAAAATTTTATTAATTGTATTATGTTGATTTTCGTACAATTTAAAAATTAAAAGGGCCGTTTGTTTTCATTTTTGAAAACGTTTTTCACGTTTTCTAAGAAAAAAATTGAAACGAGAAAAGAATACACGTTTGGGAAGAATCCGTACCAAAATTAAAAATAAAAACGTTTTCCTAAAAGCTCACTTTTTTTTTTGAAAATGGATTAAATCCGTTTTCATTTTCCTTTCTCCCTTCATTTTCTCCCTTCGTTCTTCTCCCTCTTCTCTGACTGCCCTCCCTTGGTTCCTTTTCATTTTTTCTGTAAACGTTTTTGGGGTTAGGGTTAGGGCTGGGAGGCAGCAACGGAGGTTCCGAGGGAGGGAGGGAATCGAGGGGGACGTATGGCTGGTGGAGGATCCTTCGCGGAGGAGAAGGGGAAACGACAATGGATTCGAAGGACAATAAGACTAAAAATGACAGGAGCCACGATAATGTAGTGGGCATTGTATTGTAGTTAGTAGCGTGGACTCCCCAGTTTGTGAGAGAGAGGGAGAGAGAGAAGGGAGTTTGCAGTAATGGCGAAGGATTTGGTAGGGACTGTTTTTGTTTTGCAGATTTAGAGAGAGAGAGAGAGAGAGAGAGAGAGATGTGTAAAAAGGTTGAATCTGGGGAGTGAAAAGTAGCATGAATTTGGGGTGAAAAATATTTAATAATATTATTTATTTAATATATTTTAATTTTAAATATTATTATATGTTTTTAAAATTAAACCACCAAACACAATTTCAATTTTTTTTAAATTGAAATTAATCTCGGAATAAAACTACCAAACGCATTTTCAAAAATAATTTCAAAATAAAAATGAAAACGTTTTTATTTTTATTTTCATATAAAAAATAAAATTATTTTAGAACGAATTTCAAACTCACCCAAAGTTACTTTTAGGTTGTTTTTAATTTTGACTGTAAATTTTTTAAAAATTCTTCAAAAAATACTTAGTATAAGATTTACTAAACATTAAAATCAATTTTTACCATAAGTTTGATTTTAGGAGAAAATTAATACCA